AAATAAAATTTAAGATTCAGTAATAAGACAGGAGAGTAAGAAGCTAAGAAAATTCCCTGGCGAGTAAAATGGGGAAACTGAGACTAGATCATTAAATAAGGCCAAGCAGTTCACAACCAGCTGGTGAAAACCGCCAGGCCTTATCTCCCCTGACCGAGGACACTCGAAAACAAATGGTTTGTACTGCTCCTCCCTGACTAGAGAGTAAATAGCTTAAATCACTCTGGTTGAGGAGATAGAGGACAGAGACCCAGTTAATGCCATTTGTACTAGCCAAACCCAAGGACGGATGAAGTCAGTGGAACAAACAAAAACTAGATTAGACCCAGACAGACCCAAGATAAAAGTAAAACAGTAAAGCAGACCAAAGAATAATCCCAAACTCCCCCATACACTCATGTTGATGCATCAGCATATTAAAAACACCTCTGGAAAGCTGATGAATATTCTGCCTAAACCCTCCCCTAAGATTCTCGCTGGCAGAAGAGAGATAAAAACCCTCAAGACAAAGACCAGACACAGCTGGCTCCGCAGCACGCCCATGCCCATTCTCTGGCGCGGACTTTTTACTTCCTTCTGAACTCCAAGGGTCTGCACAAGACTTGGAACCAGGGGAGCAGCAGACAGCAGCAGCTCACGCTGGGCTTCCTCACTGCCTGAGCCTGTCTCCCTTCCTCTCACTCCCCAGGGAGCTGACAGCAGCCCCGCCTCGGCTCACCTCTCTCCTATAACATTTCTAGGGAAGCAAAGCAGAGCACCGCCTACTCTCTCTCCTCTTGCTTCTTCTACCCTGTCCTTCCTTTGTTTCGCTGTTCCCAGCCTTAACAAATGTACTCTCAAAATCACCTAGACTCCTGCTGTGAAATCTTTCCCACAAGAAGTCAAGAGCCCACATACTCCTGGCTGGCCTGAGGCAGACCACTCTGGGCCTGGCCCGCATCTGGTGACAGTTCCCCAGTTCCATTAGCCAGCACAGAAGAGTTCCATCATCTCTGAAAGTTCCATGGGGCAGCACTGGTCTGGAGTTGAGGTCAGTGGTCCCACCCCAGGCTGCACAGTAGAAACAGCTGATGCCTGGGAATTTGTAATGATGCACAAGCCCCACCCCCAATAGATTAAATCAGAACCTCCCGGGGCTGGGAGGTGAGGGGACCGGACAGTGGTGTCTATAAAAGCTGCTAGGGATGATATGGTGTAGCTGGATTACGAACCTCTGGGCTGAATATCCTGAATATCCCAGGGGTCAAAACAGCTGGTCGGGATCAGGGTCACATCCCCTCCAGCGTCTCTCTGAGAAGCCCAGAGTAAACAGGAAGTGAGTTGTTCAGTGCAGCCTGGGACAGGAGTCCAGGACCTCCAGCTGGGTTTGCAATGAGTGTCTCCCTTCCGTAGAGAGTAGAGCTTCCTTTTATGTGCATTTCAAACCAGATTTTATCAACACAAAGTTTATTCACCCCCTTCAGTTGGCTCTGGGGTCCCTCGGGCTTTGGGCAGATGGGGTGCTGAGCAGCCGGGAGGCAGTTCCCAGCCTGAGATTCCCCTCCCAAGGTTTCCCAAGGTCGCACTCTAGGCCAGCAGACCAATATGGTACAATTAGGTCACCCAAAACTGCCACCAGCTGTCAGGGGAAACACAGAAGCATCAAATGCCCCCAAAGCCATGGAGAAAGACAGGAGAGTGGAGGTGGGGGAGGCTCAGTGGAGAGAAAGACTAAAAGGAAAGGGCAGTGGGAAAGGAAAAGAAGCAAAGCAAGAGACTAAGACTCAAGAATAAGCGAGGCATTGAGGGGAATTCTAGAAACCGACAGAGGCAGAGGAGGGAGGGAGGAAGAGAGAGACAAGGCCAGGCAGAGGGAGACTGCAGGAGAGAGTGACAGTAGACGGCTACGCACGGCCTGCCTGCTTGGAAAAAGACCCAAGGAGGACCAGCCACAACCACACAGGACACACACCAAAGCTCCCGGCAGTGAAGGGGGCTGCCCCATGCTAACACCAGGGGACCGCACTGAAACCCTGAGCACAATCAGATGACAAACATCACGGTTGTGCCTGTTAGTTCCCTGTTTGCTTCCTGACCAATGACAACGGGAGGGTAGTGAGTAGGTGTTCTATTTACAATGTTCATTGAACTGAATTCACTGAATGACTTCCCCTCTTTTTCAAAATGAAAAATGTCATGGGGTTACTCTTGTTACTTTCTGGTATGTTTCTTACTTTTGTAGCTTCAGAATTTTTAATCTCGTGTTTTTTTCTCACATTTCACGTGTAAGGGAAAGTACCGTGAGGTCTGACCACGGAGGCCTTGGAGCCACCTTGCAGGTGAGCAGCCTGCCTCTCGCCCGCCGCTCCAGCAGGCTGGACATTCAGGCAAACTGCTGTCAGGGCTGCGTACCCCCGTGGCTCCTGCAACGAAGCCAGAATTCTGTCATTTCTGCATGTGACAGTGTTGTCTGGGCAACCTCTGAAGTTCCTCACATACTTATGAATGTAAGTTTATATTTAAACTTGGTTTAGTTACTATTTAATTTTTAATTGCTAGAAAGCAAAATTGAGATATGGTTGCAAAACTCAAAAATTACATTCAAATGATTATCAGAAAGCAGTTTCTCGTAAACTGGGAACTTATGTGAATTTGCTCTTTTGCAAATTGATGTTTGAGGAACTGATTAAGCACACTGGCCCTGCAGGGAACTAGTCACATGGGAACGAGTATTCTAAGAGCTAGCTTCCCTCCAGGAGGACACCCACAGGGGCCAACCAGGGGGCTCCAAGGTGCAATGCAGCCTGGCCCCTAATGTGACCTCTGATCCACAGAGCCAGGACAGCCCAGGTGTGGCACTGGCCTGGTGTCACCCTGACGACTACCCTGGCCCTTGAACAGTCACACATATGTTCATGGCTCCTGAACTTATGCTGCCTTCATAGGCTTAGAAATCTCCCCACAGCGTCTATAAAACGCTGAATCTAATCATGGAAATGAAACGTGCATTTCCTCTGCATGCCCTGCAGTGACCAGAATGTCCTGCCTTTGCCTCGCTGAGCTCTCCCCCTCCGTGCCAGCCTCACCAGAGAACTGAACTCTCTAGGAGTTTCCGCCCCTGTCCAGGGCTTCTAGCAGCCTCTGAGAGGTGCAATGATTATGAACCTGTTGCAAATGAGCCCTCTAATCACAGCTCTGCTACCACTAGCCTTTCAGAAAACTACCCAGTCTCAGGGCTTCAGTTTCCCCATCTGTAATGCTGACAATTGTAACATCAATAGTAGTACATAACTGACTTTAAAAGATCTTGTATAAAGAGGCTCAGCACAGGGCCACTCAGCTAGCTCTCAATAAACGTCAGCTGTTGTGGTTTTGCTAATACTATCCTCAGCCTGGTATTGGAGGCCCCTATCAATCTGGACCCACCACTCCCTTCTCACTGGGCTCACATGTCACGTGACTTAGTCCCACTTATAAGCCCTTAGCCTGGATGCCCTCCATACTCAGACACTGGAATGCCCTCCCTTCCTCACCACTCTAAAGCCTACCCCAGCCTCTAAGTCAGACTGAGTGGTCTTCCTCCAGGAAGCCTTCCAGAACCACCCAGTGCTCAGCACCACTCCCTTCCTCACCCACAGGTCCATCATTCTTGCCTTTTAGAAGCTGCTGTGTTTTCTACAAAATGTTTGCCTGTGTTGAGATAGTTTGGTGTGAACTGATTCAAGCCCCTGCCTACTGTGCAGGATGGGGCTTCTCAGGTCCTGGGCCCCCACACCTTGCAGCCCCACCTTTGAAGGACCCAGTAGAAGTCCCCCCCCACTCCCACACACACCACCCCCTGTACCCACGGCCAGCAGACGCACAGAGAAACAGTGGCAGTCAGGCTTTTCTTCCAAGCTTTACACAGTTTCAACTCTCCAGGTGTTTTGCAGCCTGAGACCCTTGTCAACCTTCCCCAGGTCTCTGAATCCTCCCGCTTGCCTTCTCTCTCCTCCCCCACCCCAAGGTAGCAAACACAGCCAGGTGTCCCAGGACTCAGGCAGCGCTGACCCAGTTCCCAAACAGACACCCCTGTGAGCAGGTCACTAAACAGCAAGGCCATCATGCCTGATCCTTGTGCCCAGACCTCAGTAAATTGTACCAAGAGCATGAGTCCCCCACCCACCCCCCGGCAGCACCTAACACAGCTGCAGCTGCACCCCACCACGCCCAGCAGAGACTGCTGAACCCCTGACCTGAAGGCTGTGCAGCCTCACAGGCTGTGTCTCCCAGGCCACACTACCCCACAACCAACAGGGAACAAATAACATCCATCTGCACACTTGGTTGGTCCTGCCCACCCCCACTCCTACCAGCAGCACATACAAGACCTAGGAGTTCAATGACAAGGAAAAGGACTCATGGACAGCCTAAAGAACCCACTTTTGCCACACCACCACAATTTTGCTCCTGCTAGTCTGGAAACCCTCCCCGCCACTATGGGAAATAACAATAGAAAACATTACCGCAGGGAGGTGTGCAGTCATTGGAAACCATTATTCCTGTTCCAACTTCCAAACCACAAATCTGCCCTCAAGGCCCACCTCTTCCATGAAGCCTTCCTTGAGAGCTCCCTGCTGGTGGCCTGCCTGCCTTCTGCAGTGTGCCGCTGCCCTCACCGGTGTGGGCAGGGCGAGGAGAAGGGGCCACACCCAGGCACCCAGGCTGACACAGGACACAGGACGCCTTCTCCTCCCCACCCCCTAGGGCAGAGGCTGTCTATGCAAACACATGTACACCTGATTCTAGCCCACCTTCCTTCCCTGCAGCCTAGGCGGCTCTCAGATTGACCCATGGCTGGGTTTTTGAGGCTGCAGCCAGGCCACTCCCCAACATCCACCACTGGGATGGGCCCAGGAGAGGCAGGTGCTCAGTAAATGCTGAGTTGAAACATCAGCTCTCTGGGACCCATGCTCTGGAATATATGTTCACCATGACCTTACCTGTCCCTGCAGGCCACAGAGACCCCCTGCCCGCCTCACCTGTTCCTTCCCATCGTCTCATGGTCTTTGACCACCACATGAAGCTCAGAGCTCTGGTCCAGAGGGATGCCCTTGAGATCCCACTCAAAGCCCTAGAAGAAAAGGAGAAAAGACATTGTAACCTGTGGCCCCCTAGGAGAAGAGACTGTCTGGTTCACTCTGGTCCCCCAACGGCACTGAGCAGGCATCCATAAATGAGGCTGGTGGGTGGATGGATAAGTGAGTGAATGAGGGAATACATGATTGGCAGGGCTCCAGAGCTTCAGAGTAACAGAAGGCTGAAGCAGCAGAAAAGAGTAGGCCAGACTCCCATGACCCCCACCCCGATGCAGTGCCACCAATCACCAGGCCTAGAAGTACAGCTTGGGGAAATGCCCAGTGATCCTACAGAGTCCGCAGGGACCAAGATCAAGGTGCTTATCCAGAGCCGGGCACCACTCTGGTGGGCAGCATGAGTTATTGCCACACTGGGGAGGCCCAGCCAGATGCCCCAGGACCTTCCTCAGAGCCAAGGCACCACTGTGCATCCCAACCCCATCCACACAAGGCATCCAAGAAAGCACATGCAGGGAGCTGGTTAAGGGCAGGGGGCCAGCAGGAGCCAGAGGAGGTCCTGGTGAATCTACGAGAGCTATGGGACAGAGGTGAGCTTTGGGCAGGAAGAATGGCCTGTGTAAGGGAGACAAAGCAGGCAGGAGAGCCCCTAAACGCCCTCTACCTGGCTGACCAGGGCTGGAGGAAACAGACAGACACCTTGCTCCTCCCCGTGCCACACCCACATCTCAGGGGAGACGCCTCTGTTGACCAGGTGTGCCAGGCCACCAGCCATCCTCCCAGGTTCCACATGCCAGGAGGATTTAGTTGGCACACTAGAGCAGCAGCCCCTCCCCTCCCTGACAATACCCCTGAGAATGCCCCCTTTCTGCATGAGCCCCCTGACTTGTGCCTACAGCGGTAGTGGCAGCAGAAAGAGGAAGAGAGGGAGGGTGAGCAAACCCGCATACCTCATTCCACACAGGGTTCACATTGTTCTTGATGACCTTGGTTCTCTTCTTCACCCCTGTGAGACACATGGAAAGGGAGTGAGAGACTGCGCCACCTCTGCACCCCCACCGAGTTAGGGCAGCTCATCAGACATGAGCTGCAGCTCACCCAGCAAAGGAAACCTCGCAAAGCCAACAGCTCCCCTGGGGCCCCCAGCAGTCTGCATGAATGCCCTGCGCCCATCACAGGACTCCTCTCTCCCCCACCCCCCGCTCTGGGATGCAGAAAGAGCAGCCCCATCAGAAGGATGTTTTTAACGGAAAACATCCAGACTGAATCTCCTTAATGAGTTTGTTATTGTTATTCCCAACTTTCTCAATAAATTTTTCTGACTCTAAGAATGAATAATCTTCATAGAAAAGATTCCATTTTTCTTTTTAGAGTCATCCACCTCCACATATTATATGATTCTATTTACATGAAATGTCCAGAATAAGCAAATCCATAGATAAACAGTTTCCAAGGGCTCGAGGGGAATGGGAGCAGGGACTAAGTGCTTAATGAGGTTTCTCTGGGGGATGATGAAATGGTCTGGGATAAGATAGTGATGATGGTTGTACAGCATTGTGAATATACTAAAAACTATTTAAATTGTCCACTTTTAAGTAGTCCAAATGGTGAATTTTGGAAAATGTGAATTTTATGTCAATTTTTTTTTAAAAAACCCGCTCACTCTGGCCTGGAAGGGGTCTGTCTGAAGCAGGCTGTCCCAAGGCAATCCTAGCTGTTCATGGAGCTGGGACAGGCAATGCAGAACAGTCTGGGGCAGACAACAGGAAGAGCTGACACCACGATGGCGGAGACCAGACCCACAGTGCCCCAGAGGCGGACAGACAGCGTCTGTTTGAAGCCTTGGACACAAGGTGTGGATGAGGGGCACAAAAGAGGCTAAGCATGTCCCAGTCTTCCATTAAGCATCAGAACAGAAATAATTCTGTGTTCAAAAGGATGATTTTAAATGTTCAGCAAGACACAAAATTTATATGTGAGTTGGATCTTAAAGATCACACAGTTTGTCCTGGCCAATGTGGTTCAGATGGTTGAAGCATCATCCCATAAACCAAAATGTTGTGGGTCTGATTCCTGGTCAGGACACATGCCTAGGTTTCAGGTTCAGTCCCCAGTCAGGGCACTTCCTGGTCAGGGCATGTATGAGAGGCAATAGATCCATGTTTCTCACATCAGTGTTTCTCTCCCTCTCCCTCTCCCTCCCTTCCCCTCTCTCTAAAACCAGTGAGCATGTCCTCAGGTGAGGAGGAAAGAAGGAAGGAAGGAAGGAAGGAAGGAAGGAAGGAAGGAAGGAAGGAAGGAAGGAAGGAAGGGAGGAAGGAAGGAAGGAAGGAAGGAAAATCATGCAGTTCCACATCCCCTGTGCAAGGCTCTCCAGTGAGAAGCCTTTAGTATCCACTGGCCTGCCCAGCTTTTACTGGGCCTGGACTGTGAAAGCCCCTCAAAACTCCAGAAACATCCCCCAGCACCCCGAGGCCTCCTCTGAAGCTGAGCAATGTCAATGCAATATAGCTGGTTTCCATGAAGGGCAGTGCCCATCTGAGACATTTCACAGCATAAAAGAGAGGAAAGCAAAGAGGTGTCAAGGACACAAGCAATGGTTGGGGAAGAATTTGGAGGAGAGAAACAATAGAGGAAGGGAGAACAAAAGAAGAGCATGGTGAAAGGAACATCTGAGAGAGAGAGGCAGAGCAGGGCCTAGTAGACTCCAAAACAATTATGTTGAAAATGGTTGCTCAGCTTTGGAAGTTCCTTCAGAGACTAAGAAGTTCTGATCAACCTCCCCCAGTGAGAGAGCATGACTCCCAACCCCCTTCACCACCTGTGACAAATCAGTGATGTGGGAAAAGAACCTGAACTTTGCGATGCCAAAGACCACCACAGAATACTTTTTGGGGGAAGGGGTGAGACCTTAGGGCAATGATTCTCAAACATTCTGGTCACAGGGCATTACGCTTGAAAATTATTGAAGACCCCAACGAGTTTTTATTAAGATGGCTTGTATCTATCAACTTGTACCATGTTAGGAATCAAAACTGGAGCATTTAAAAATATTCATTTAGTAAATAATTTTAAATTAAGAATAACAAGCCCAGTATATGTTAACATAAGTGACCAATTTTTATGAAAAATAACTATAACTTCCTAAACAAAGGAAAAAGAAGAGTGACATTGTTTACATTTTGCAATGCCTGGCTGGCTTTTCATATCTAGTTCTGCATTCAACATGTTTAGATGTCTTGTTTTGGTTAGTGTATATATAAAGAAAATCCAACCAGATACGTGGTTGGAAAAAGAGGCATATTTGAATAAGTTTTCATATACTCGTGGAAAGCCTGTGATACTACACCAAAACTCAACAAGCAGTATTTCTTAAACTTAAAGGTGAGTGGCCATGTAAAATCTGGAAGCAGATTGATGAACATTTTGTACTCTGCTACATTAGAGCCACTGTCGTGTCTGCAGTTTGAATGAATCTCTCGCCCATGTATGTGGTTCTGTGACATCTTGCATTGGTCATTCAGGAAACTTTTGCTCATTGAGTTATATAAACCTTCTAAATGCTGACACATTCCATGATATAAAACTGAAAAATATCACATTTATTGATATCACCATCAATCTCAACAGCAAAATTATTAAATATTGGGAAGCTGGAAGACACAGTTTTCTAAAGTTCCAAGTTTTGTCTGAAAGCTCAAAGTTTATGATTGGCAACATTCAGCTTGAAGTGGCAGGCTCACTCATTCATTTTCAAGAAAATGTCTGCCAAATGCCCTAGTCTGAATAATTACAGTTTCTCAGTCATTGTTTCAACTAAAAACAGCATTTTAGGAAAAAAAAAAGGCTAGCTTAGCTTGCATTCAGGCAACCACACAAGTGCTCTCCCTGCAGCAACCACCCTCCAGGGTGCAGCCGAAGTGCTCTGCCCGTGCTTCCCAGGTCAGCACACACACTGTTACCAGCACACGTCCTTGAGGGCCGAGAGTAATGAAAGTGATAACTACTGCTTTATTGAGGATATTCTTCAATGAAACTGGCTTTTTTTAAAGCTAGAACTACATGAGGGTGAAGAAAAGTGCAATTTTGTGCCAAGACCTTCATGAGTGTTAAAGCACTGACCGTGTCCCCTTCCATGGCTTCCACTGCTGATGTCAACCCAGTGAAAAAGGCACATAGCATCTTAGTCTTATTGTGACAATAGTTTTGACCTTGCTGTCCTACTCAAAGAGTCTTGGGGATTTCCCAGGGGTTCATGTACAGCATTTGAAAACCTCTTAGGAAATCTATTAAACATTTCAGCCCCTGTTTCTTCATCAGTGAGATCATGATAATGCCTCCTCATGGGGTTGTTGTGAAAATTAGACAAGATAGGGTGAGTGCGGTGCCCAGCACACAACACACTCATTAAATATAAGTTTACTTCCTCTCCCCTTCCTTCTGTGCCCCACTCTGAATGAACCACTACTGATTCTTCATTACCCAGCTCATTTTCTCCTCTGGAAAGCCGCTCTTGACTTTCTCAGAGATAGTTGTAAGCTGTGACCACATGTACCAGACAGTGGGATAACCGTGTGCTTCTATGTCTGTCTTCCCAACAGGACTGTGAACTGCAGAAGGCAGACATGATGCCTTACCATGTTAGTTACGGTAGCATATAGCGAGGTCCCCTGTGCCTGGGCTCTGATGAATGGGTCCTTTTCTCCCCCATGTTGGCTGCAAAGTTCACTTCCTCACCAGAGGATGGAATCACTGCTCTCAGAAAAAGCTGTAAGACTATGTTCACAGTATGGCTGTGCATCAATGAGTGGAGGGGGTGAAAGGAGGCATAGCAGGAGGCGTGTCCTGGGAGGGGCAATAGTTCTCTTCTCAAAATTGGTCCAGGTCTTCCCTGGCTGAACCACTCTAAATCTCCTTGTGGGCTATGATGGTGTGGCTCCAGCAGGCATTAGACACATGGCTTTGGAGTCATTCAAATGACAGCCACTACTGCAGGTATGTCAAACTCATTTTCACCGGGGGCCACATCAGCCTCACGGTTGCCTTCAAAGGGCCAAATGTAATTTTCAGAATGTATAAATGTAACTACTCCTTAACTAGGGGCAAGGAGCCCTACATTTGGCCCTTTGAAGGCAACTGTGAGACTAAGGCGGTCCCCCATGAAAATGAGTTTGACACCCCTGCACTACTGTATGCCCATAGGTAGGGCTTCGAACACCTCTAGGCCTTCCTTAATTCTCTCAGCAATAAATTAACCATGGGTGCCTACTTTATGGGGTTTTGAAAGGATATAAGATGCTATCTAAGCATCTATTTCCCCTCCTTTATCAACTTCCTATGATCTACACGAGTCACATGGAAAATTCCGCCTGCAGCCTCTCTTGAGTTGTCCAGTCGGATGCATTTCCTGGTACTCCTGCCTAGCACTAATTGAACAGTGTCTGTGTGCCAAGCCCTGTGCAAAATATCTTTTAAACATTTTCCATTTCCTGCTGTCCCTGAAGATGACAAGAACAAAGGCCCTCAGTAAGGTTTCACCAAGTCCTGGTTGGAAGAGCCAACCCTGGGACCCTCTGGGTGACACTGAGGGGTCACTGATGGGCACTACAGCCCCAAAGAGGAGCAGGAAAGACATGAAACATTAACCCAGCAAAATCACATGATCTGCAGAAGCCAAGGAAAGGGAAGCCAGTGCTAATTAGGAAACAGTTAAGAAAATAGTTCCTTCCTTACCATGAATTTAGACCTGTCCTGTCCTTGCTAATTAATTTTGGCCATGAGAGATGTGTTTTGTGCATGTAATTTAACAGACTCAGAGATAAAGGAGAGCTCACAGCTCATGCTAGGGTTTAGGAGAGGGGACTCTGTCCTCTCCCCAGATTGCTCTGCTGAATTGGGGGCCAACAGGTATCTGTGAGGATCACCCCAAAGCCACAGGGGTGTTCCCCCAGACCGAAAGACTCAGTAAAGAAGAAGAAACCTACCTATGTGTCCCCTGTGGAAATT